ATTCGTGTGTTTGCCAAACAAAAAGTCAGATAAATGAAATTGGCAACGGCAACGGCAGCAGCTGAGACAGCGACAGCGACGTCGACTGCGACTGCGACTGCAAAGTCGAGAACGGCGACAAGTTGAGTCAAGTTTGGTATCAAAAATCGATTAACAAAGCGCCGGCAGCGCTGCTCAACTTTAACGGCATTTAAAAAGCATTTCTTTATTTACAAGACAAACTTTTCAGTGTGCGCCAGTGTGTGTGTGTGTGCTTGTGTGTGTGTGCAGCGATAATTGGTATAAAATGCCCGTTTATTGCCTGTCACGAGTATCGATTTCTATATCAGGATATGTCACGTGCAGAGCGGCAACCGCAAAGGAAATGGAACAAAACGTTCCACTAAGAAACGGGTGGAAATGGGGAGTGGAAGAATCGCTCCCTTTGCCAAACTGAGAAAAACCGAAGATAAAATACACTTTTTCGAATTAGATTAACTTTTTATATGTTCTGATTAGACTTCTAGATCAGAGCCTTTGTAAATTTCAATTCTTATTTGCAGGCTCTAATTTCACAATTCTATATATTTGATGAGGTAATCGCATGCTTCATTTTCCCATATAATATACATATATTCGACGAGACAATTGAAACCGAATTGTTGTGAAATTCGCATTGAAAATATGCGTCATAGAAGCCAAGTTGTAATTTAAGTTTAAGTGAAAAACATTTCCATTGTTTAATAAACAACGCCTATGAGTCAAATTGTTTATTATCTAAGAATTGTTATGAAATACAATTGTTCATATTTTTGCCCGGACAGACGCGAGATTTGGGCTTATTTGTCTGGCCCACATGTGCACAAGATACATAAATATCTGCAGCTTGTTGTCAGTTTTCTCGAGTTTCCTCGTGTCTCAAATCTTTGAGTTGATATTTACACGTTTCAACATTTCCATTAGGCCTCGTGCATATTTTATAACCGACTTCATTGCGTTGACTTTAAATAGTTTTCATTACTCCACAGCTAAAATTAGACGCACAGAGAGTCCGAGAGTCTGAGATGAGAGCGCAAGAGAGCGTGTAGCGCCTCTTGACTATAATTAGACAAACGCTTAAGAGCAGCGAACGTGAGACGTGCGGGGGGAGGGGGGGATGCAAGTGATGTGGAACACGTCGCAGCTGCTGATAGTTGGAGCTGATTACAACAAGGCTTTCGAATGGAATTTGACGAATGATGAAATGACAATTGTCTGTGTCCGTCCGTTATCAGCTGAGCATGTTTCCGCACACATATGCATGTACATATTTACCTATTTGGTGTCGAAGAGCTTAAAATCTCACCACAACTATTTCGAGTAACAGTTCGTGGGCAAAAACTCAACTCTACACAAGAGCTTGAAGGGCGAAAATGTATACAAGGCGAAACGCAAAGAGAACTCAGCTCAGACCGACGGACGGTCAATATAAATAAACTGGAATTAAGCATAAACCAATAAGCGCAAGAAGAAAGCAACGCAATGACCGCAAAGCTAGTGACTGCGTGTGTGTGTGTGTGTGCGAGAGAGAATGCCAAACTGGAAACGAAATATGTGCTCAAGGTCAGTCAACGGATTGTTTCTTATTTATATACATACATATTGCTTGCAGAGAGCAGAGATCAAAAGCTGCGCTGCAAGTTTGCAACGGTTCGTTGGCGTCGACGTCGTCATCGTCGTCGTCGTTGCTCATACGCAAAATTTACGCAAATTGGCACAGACAATTGCGAAAGAAGGGAAGAGGCAGGCGGCAGAGAAAGGTAGCGGAAGCAGCGGCGACGCAAATTAAAAGCAATTTTCAATTTCCTGAGTTGGCGAAAATTGAAAAATTTGCTGCATGCACAAGCACCAGCAGCAGCCACCCGCGCAATCTCTCACACACACACACACACACACACACACACAAATAGTCAATGGAATGAAATTGATGTGCCGTTATTTGGCTGAAGCTAAATTCCAAGAAGCACACACAAATGCTGCTGCGCAGTCGCAGCAAACTAGCCGAACAACTTTTTGTTTTATTTTTCGCACACGTTTGTTGTTCGTAATTATTAAAGCTGCGCTGCGCTGCGCTGCTTTGCGCTGCTCTGCGCCCACAACAACAGGCCACGAATTGCGTAGGATAATAAACAGAAACAACAAACAAGCAACACGGACACGGGCACGAGAGCAAACGATACGCATGATCAATGAGAGCAGTGGCCATGTGGCTAGATAGCCGTCTCGCTCTAACGCGCGCATACAACAAGTGCGAAGCAGCGGCATAAAACAAAGGAGCAAAATTGAAAGAAGAAAAAAATGCCAATACATACAATACAATATAAAACAATCAATTTCTTGCATTCCCACCAGTTTTCAATAGAAATTCAATTAATTGTCACTCACCTTATCCAGGCATTTGAGCTCCTCAATGGGATAAACCACCTTTTGGCAACGGGCACAAGTTTTATTCATCTTCTCGCTGTTTCAGTACACTTTCTGAGTGGGAATCGGGGGGGACACACAGATTTTTAGAATTTAGCAACACTTGATACAGTCGATTATTAGTTTCGCATAGCGATCGGCTGGCAAACACAGCTTCAAGAACTATTTGCCAAGAATTGGAATCTATTTGAACTATTGTTGGGTATATGTGTGTGTGGCCAGGATTAACATTTAACACTGCAAAGCTACTGAGATTTGAACAAAAATCTGTGTTACAACTGGATGGCAACTAACTGGTTTGCTTTGTCGCTGATTTTCGTATATATATATATATACATATATACTCACAGACACACGCACGCACACACGAACACACAGTTAACACTTTTTCACTAATTGCAAGCGGGTAAACTTTTAAATATTCAACTGTGGCCGTCTCCGGCTCCGTCTTCGACTCCGAATGCAACTAAGCGACGCGCGCACGACTCCTACTCAGAGAAAGACAACGACAGGTGCTTGTACAGTTGCGCTTTCGAAATGCTGCTAGACGCAATTAGTATTCAACAATTAATGGCAACGATGTTAATGTTTATTAATTAGTGGATTTGTTCAATCGAAAATTTACACGCTGCGCACCCGCATAAACACGTCCGTACCTCGCCGAAACAACAACAATTATGACGCATAACATGCTGTAAACGTTTTGGGGCTTGGAGTATGTTGCGCTCAAATGGTCATGTTAAGGCGCTGAGAGAGAGAACCAAACTGTCTAACATCATGATACTAAAATTATCTGTTAATTCGCTGTTAACTCACTGCAATTGCTATCGTGCAGTGTTGCGAACGAATGCAGTCATTCGATAACACATATGCCGGCTGGCACAGGGTGCTGCACGCAAAAAGCACCCCACTTTTTGTATCCTTGGAGTTTACTATCGAGATTTTTTTTGTAACCACTTCGTGCTCCGTGGGCGGATATACAAATATTCACAAAAAATCATACAAATATCAATTATATAGTTAAGTGAACGAGAAAAGGCTTGCCAAACGTAACGACTTAAGTCGACTTTGCATAAATAACTAAATCAAACGTTAATCAAGAGCAATATTCGCATTTTCTCCAATGTCCTGTGACCTGACTGTGCATAATACTGTGTTCGACCGTCTAGCAATTAATAGAATGTAAAAGGCCACAGTTCATCCATAAGTTTGCATTAAATAGGTGTTATTATACTAAATTAATATTGATAAGTCGCAAAAGTGCTTGAGAAAAACGCAATTTATTGATTATTCAAGCCTGAATCATGCTGCATATTTAAAGGCGTGGACCGTGTAACTAAAGACGCCAAAAAGTAGGCAAATTACCAAAAGAAACACACAACATTGCCGATTGAAAAATCGATAAGCTTGCCGTGAGCGTGTGTATTTGTAAAGCCGGCGGCTGCTATCGACCACAACAACAACAACAACAGGGAGGAGTAACAGGAGCAACATACGAGGGAGAAGTCGAAGGAGGTGCCAAACGAAGACAAGTGGAACCAAGGATTCAATATTGTCTCGCTCAAATGTCAAAAGTCAGCCAGGCAGGACGACAGCGCATGTTGTAGACTCGGACCCACCCTGTCTACAGCATAATTACGTTAAAAAAAAATACAGTACTATTTACCTTCCCCCTGTTAGAGCTGCCCTCCGCGCAGGCAGCAAGCCGCAGCCATTAGACGTTACACGTATGTAACCAACCCGTTTATTATAGCAACCATGCAAACGCTGCGCAAGAAAACGAGTCCTTGTAAATGTAAGTTCCATTTAAAATAGATTATTTAATTAAGAAGCTATCGATAATACACCAAATAACTGGCGGCGCATGACGTGCGTGCTTGATCGTCGTTGGGCCTCTAAGCTAGCAGCTGCTGCGCCGGCGTCGCTGCTGCTGTTGCGGCTATCACTGTTAAGCAAACAACAACAGCGCCTCTCTGTCTCTCTCTCTCTCTCTCCCCCCATCTCTCTGTCCAGATCTCTAAGTTGTGGTTGCTTTTGTGAAATTTGAATGCTTTTGTATGCGTGTGTTATCGATATCAAATTTAAATACCTGCACCAGGTGCTGCATGATGAGCGCGTCTGATCGTTTTTAGTCCGCTTAACTGGCAGCTGCTGCGCCGGCGTCGCTGCTGCTGCTGCTGCAGCCGCTGCTGTCGTTGTCGGCAGGTGGTGCAGCTGCGTTCAGATTTTTAGCAAACAACAACCGTGCGCGCGCTCTCTCTCTCTCGCTCGTTCTCTCTCCATGCAAACAATTTGCTGTTTTAGAATTTTGCATTGAATACACCGCAATATAATAGTAAAATTCCAGTGCTCTTGCGTGTGTGTTAGTTTGTGTTTGTGTTTGTGCTCTGCTCTCGCACTCCCACAGCAGAGGGCGCAGCATCGCGCAGCGCTGTCGTCATTCATTCATTCCCTGAACGCGAATCGTAGCGGCTGCGGATGCGGGCGCTGTCACGCGTTTTGTTACTTTTTCGACATTTTCCGCCAGTGTTGGTTCTTTATTCGTTTTATTCGTTTCTTTTTTAATTAAAGTCCAAAAAAAACGTCGCGCAAATCGTTGCTATTTGTTATTATTGTTTGTGCTTGTGCGCATTGTTGGCCTTTGTGTTTGCCATGGAAATACTCTGAATACCACACACACACATACACACACACACGCACACAGATACACATGGATACACAGATAGAGCATGTTCTGAGCTGAGTTTGTGGCTAGCAAAATGGTCAAGTCGCTTGTCTCCAAGCTCCAAGCATCCTCGAATCTCTCGCTGGCCCAAACCTTCGGCCTTGGCGGCGCCAGCGGCCCGGAGGAGACGAATTACGCAAAACGTTTGTTTGTTTTTCCCTACACACACACACACACATGCAGAGAAAATATGATGGAATATGTATTTTGTGCATTTTTTCAGATCGCAATGATCCCGGTCGTTTCTTTGGGGATGGCGTCCAGTTCAAGGCCAAGCTGATTGGCATTCTGGAGGTGGGCGAGGCGCGCGGCGATCGCATGTGCCAGGAGGCGCTGCAGGATCTGAAGATGGCAATACGCGCCGCCGGCGAGCACAAGCAGCGCATCATCATCCATGTGACCATCGATGGGTTGCGGCTGCGCGACGAGAAGACCAGCGACTCGCTCTACCATCATCCCGTGCACAAGATCTCGTTCATAGCGCAGGATATGACGGATTCGCGTGCGTTTGGCTATATATTTGGATCGCCGGATAGCGGTCATCGGTTCTTTGGCATCAAGACGGACAAGGCGGCCAGCCAGGTGGTGCTGGCCATGCGCGATCTCTTCCAGGTCGTCTTCGAGCTGAAGAAGAAAGAGATTGAAATGGCGCGCCAGCAGATCCAAGGCAAATCCCTGCACGATCATGCCAGCCAGCTGGCCACCTTGTCCTCGCTGAAGGCTGGCCACGGCGAGCTCGCCTCCGGCAGCAGCAGCTCCGCGGCAGCAGCGCATGCTTCCAATCTCAGCATGCTGGGCGCCGGCTCCTCGAACGGCGTCGGCCTCACGCGACTCGGTGTCAATCTCGACGTGAACAAGGGGGCGGGCGGTGCGGCCAAGGAGGTAAGTAGTTGCCCATCTCTATCTCCCCTTTCCATTTATGACTTTTCTTCTCTGCAGATCTCGCCGGAATCCGTGGCGGACCTGGTCGATCTGGAGCAGGAGCTGACATCGCTGCAGCGTGGCATCAGCCAAATGGAGCGCATTACGCCAAACGAACCAGCCATATCACAGGCCGGCGCCGGGCTGACCAAGTCGGCCAGCGAGGATGATCCCTTCGGCGACTCCTTCATCTATGTGCCCTCGTACAACATCTTGCCGCCGCCACCCGACTCCGGACGCACACGCCACAAGCAGCCCAGCAAGACGCCGGAGAGCACAGCTCTGGACACGCTGCTCTCCCCGGTGCCTGGCGCCAGCAGCTCGCCGGCCAACATGCAACAGGATGACGATGATGGCTGGCTGCACGAGCTGCAGCAGCAGAACGATGTCTTTGACACGACCAAGGTGACGGTCACGCCCACGCCCATGTCGGCGGCAGCCGTGCTGGGCAGCCTGCCGATGGCGCCGCTGGCGACCAGGGAATCCTCGGCAACGCCCACGCAACAAATCAGCGAAATCTGCGCAGCGCCCGCAACGACAACAACAACAACAGCTGCCGCCGGCAACGAAGTGGGGTTAAGTGGGGCTCTGACCAGCCTGACAACGGCAGCTGCAGCTGCACCACAAGCAGAGGCAGAAGGGGCGACAACAACAGCAGCGGGAGCAGCGGTCATGTCGGGTGAGTTGTTGAGCATAAAAAGAAGTTCGTTAATAAATGATTGCCACAAGCGGTCAATCTGTAAGAGAGCTGCCATTCACGATGGATGCGAGGGGGCAGGGCGTCTGGTGCGAGCAGGTCTGCGACAATTGCCAGCTGAGACCCAGCAGATGAGCTCAATGAATCGCAGTCAATTGGTCGCATTTCTCGCTTACAGTAAAATTTACTAGCACAAATAGCAAACAAATATATTTATATATCAACTCGGGAGACTTACATGGGGAGGGAGCAGCTGGTAGAACCTATTGAACACCAGAGATAAAGCAAATTGTTAATGAAACTGTTGTTGTTAACTTGAACTGCTTCTGTTAATACGCTAAAATTGGCTGTTTAAGTATGTGGGTCTTAAGTATGTAAAGTCTTGCTGTTAATTCGTTAACATTGGCTGTTAAAGTGTGGGGAAATTTCTGTAAAATGTTTTTAACTTAGCATTTAATTACATGTTGCTCACAGCGCTTCATTTAAATCTTTAATGTGATGTAAAGAAATCTTTACTTAACATTGACTTAACATAGCAAGCATATGTATAATTTAATGTCTCACTTGAGAAGACGGAAGAAACTTTTAAGGCTTAACATTACTTGGTATGTAAAACGTGTACTACTTAGCAGCTCTTTAACATTGTGCGCAAATGTTGGTAACAGCGCTTCATTGCTGTATAAATTGTTTAAACTAGCAGGGATTTGAAACCTGAAGTTCTGTCCTGTTAGTTAAATCCCGAATAGATTTAAGAAGTGTTCCTTCCATCGTGAATGCAGCTCTTTTCAAGGCCTTTTATGTTAATATTTAAACACTTACTAACCCCTAATGCACCGCTCCTTAAGTTGTTTTGTTTGTTGTTGTTTTTGCGCTTCAGTTTGTGGTCTTTATTTAAAGTTCAGTTCAGTTGAGTTTTACTTCGTTTTTCTCTTGAGTTCTCGCACAAGTGCACGCTTCTTTTACTCCTTGGAGTCTCTGTTAATAGCGAGTCTCTCCCTCTCTCTCTCTCTCGCTCTCTCGCTGCTTCTCTCTCTGAAATTGCGTGGCTCGCCAGATGCGTTTACGGATCTGGATCCGCTGGGCATTGGGCGCACCAGGCCCTATGTCGATAAGAAATACTTCTTCCAAGAGCTCAAGAATCCGCCCAAGAAGCTGCTCAAGGAGCTCGGCTCCAGTCAGGGCGATAACTTTGATGATTTTCTCGGTGCCCGCGATGCCTCCCTCTTTGAGGAGACCAACGCAACAATAACAACAACAGCAGCAGCAGCAGCAGCAGCAGAAACTACTAACACAGCATCAGGTACTGACCACGCCCACCACCAATTAGCCCCGTTTACTAACACGGCTAACATTTGCACTTGCACGAATCGCGCAGGAAACGCCGCCAGTTGCAGCAGCAGCAGCAGCACCACAACTAACCCACTAATAACCACCGCCAGCCTTGGGCCCCAGCACCAGCTACTAACAAACAGCTCCCGTTCCCGCTCCCAGCCTAGTCCCACGCCCCCCGCCCACAGCAGCAGCCAGCACCAAACCCACACCCAAACCCACAGCCAAACCCACTCCCAGACCCAAACACCAGTGCCCATCCCGAGCCTTTACCTTGCTCAAGTCGAAGACTTTTCGGCTGCCAGACTAAAACTAATGCTACGTCAAACTGCAGCCTTGTCCATGCCAATTAATCCAGCCATGAACTATTATACCACAGAGCCCAGCACGAGCACGAATACCGTCGAGGAGGATGCTAATCCCGTGCTGCTGCCACGCGACACGGATCCGTTTTCGCCCACGCGCAAGAAGAGCGATCCGGATCCCTTCCAGGACGGCGATCTCTTTGCCAAGCTGGACGCCTTCGAGTTCGATGTGCCACAGCCCACGGTCAGCACAGTTCCAGCTGCCAATGTTTTCAATGGGCCGCTCCAGGTGCAGCTGCCCCCGGAGCAGCAGCAACAACAGCAGCAGCAACAACAGCAGCAGCAGCAGCCGGACGGCTGGCAGGCGGATATCTCGCGCCTGGAGCCGGCGCCCGTGAGCAGCGTGCGTCATCGTCCCACGCCCGTGGCCAGCGTTGTCAATGTGGGCGGTCCGCTGGACGTTATCTCGAGCATTAGCAACAAGAAGATGCCGCATTTGTTTGGGCAGGCGCGCTTCTCCAAACGCGGAGACTCCTCCGCCGGCGTCGGCTCCAGCGTCAATATGCGTCGCCTGCAGGAGAGCGACTCGCTCAGCGAGAACGAGGCGGCGCCGGAGCCGCCGCCACGACCCGACTCCACGCCCTATGCTGAGCCGCCGCCGCTGCCGCCCAAGAAGCAGTTCAGCGATCTGGTCATCAGGCCTACGCCCGCAGCGCCACCTGTTGGCCGCTACGAGTACTTGAACCATGCCAGCAATCAGCTGCGCCGCAGCGCCGACGCGCCGCCCATCCCGTTGCCCTCGCGTCGCGTGGGCCGCTCCGACGGCTGCTTTCCGGGACCGGGACGACCGCGCAAGCCCGGCCACACGGATGACGACTATCTGGCGCCCTTGGGCGGCACGCCGCCGCCGCTGTTGCCGCCACCCACGCAGAGCAGCAGCAGTCGGGCGCGTCCGCAGCGGCAGGCGTCGCTCGGCCGGCCGCAGGACATTTACGAGAACAAGGCCGAGATTCTGCAGGCGGCACAGGCCGCCCACGCCCAGTCGCAGGCTCAGTCGCAGAAGGAGTCGGCCGCTTTGGCGCCGGACATTACGCTGACGCAGCTGCTTACGCTGGGCATGGACGAGCTGGCGCTAAAGCTGAACGTGCCCGCCAGCAAGCTGAGCACCATGACCCTCGTCCAGCTGACGGCCTATCTGTCCGAGTATCTGCAGCTAAGCGGCGACCAAACGCAGCCCAAATCCCGTGCGAGTCCGGCTCCAGCCGCCGCCGTTGGCTCGTCGGCCTCGGCGGTGTTCAAGGTGAACTTTGATCAGCAGACCTCGTTCGTGGCCAAGTTCGACGATACCTTCGGTGAGGATGTGGGCCAGGATGCGTTTGTGGCCAATTTTGCCAACTTCAATGAGGCGCCCGCACTCTCCGCTCCCGCTGTGCCGCCCGCGGATCGTTACGCCGTCTTTCGGGAGATCATCGACCAGGAGCTGCAGCAGCAACAGCAAGAGACGGATCTTATGGGCGATCTAACGCCACCGCCAGTGGACGAAGCCCAACAGGAGCAACTGCAGCAGCAGCAACAGCAGCCGCTGGCACAGCTGGAAATTGATGTGGCCGAGCTGGAGATGGAGCCGGCACCGCCCAAGATAGACACCAAGATTACCGAGGTAGTCGCCCAGGCCAAGGATCGCTATGCGGCGCTGCGCGACATTATTTTGGTGGAGAATCTCTTTGACAAGCCGCCGCCGGCGAGCGCGGCAGCTGCCGTTGCCGAGAAGGATCTGCTGCAGGATCTGTTCAGTGATGAGTTCAACGAGGATCAGGACATACGCCAAATCATGGACAGCAGCCACGATAGACGCGGCCTTGTCGACAGCCGCGGCCTGCCCGCTGAGCCCTCATCCTCGGCCCTGACCGTTGCCGATGATGACGACGACGACGATGACGAGGATGCGGGCGGCGAGAGCAGCATGGACAGCAACGAGAAGGATGCGGAGCCTGTCAGCGCACAGGATCAGTACGAGAAACTATCGACTAGCGCCGAGAAGCCCGAGTTCAAGTCGGAGGAGCAGCTGCCGCCCAAGCAGGACAACAAGTTCCTCACCGTCGTCAGCGCGACGAGCTGTGCCGGCAGAGATGACATCGAAATCGACGAGCTAATGCAGCGCGCCATCTCCAATCTATCGCTGGACTCGCGCGATCGCATTTCCCCGGCCACATCCTCGGCGGCGCCATCGCGCGGCCCCGCCCACAGTCTGCACACGCCCTCGCAGTTTAATGATGTGAGTACCTCGCCCATTCCGCTCCAGAAATCGCCGGCACCGCCGCTGAATCAGGCGGCGGGTGTCTCGCCCGTGGCCTCGCAGCTGTCCGCCGTGTCGCAGCTAATTGACACGGCCACCAAGCAGATGCAGAGCGAACGCGACCGGGATAAGCCGTCGTGGGCCACTTTTGACTCGCCCAAGGTGGCCATCGGGCCGGGCGCTGGCAAGGGCAAGGCACGTCTCACGCTGCCGCCGCCGCCCGCCTCGAATACATCACAGCAGGACACCGCTGAGTCGCCGTGCAGCTCCGATCCGCGCGACGATGCCGGCGGCTGGTCCAAGCAGCAGCAGCAGCGCCGCTGGGCTAAAAAGGAACGCCAGCAGACCTCCTCCTCTTCGCGCGACCTCAGTCCCTGGGACGACGAGACGCCCGACTATCTCAAGCAGCAGCGCCGCGGCCTGCCGCCGCCCACACAGCTGCCACCGCATTCGCATGCCCATGGCTACTACATGCGCCACGCCCGACGCCTCAACTCCTGCGACGAGGACTACGAGTAAGTCGCTTCCAACTCTCCCAATTTTTTCTTAACTCATGCGTTCTCTGAACTTGCAGCTACGACGCCGAGTTCTGCGCTCGCCGAGATCGGGAACAGACGCAACGCAAATTCAAGCACGGACTCTCACGCAGCAGGGACAACTTTGAACTGGGTGGGTCTCACTTTTCAAAGAGCCTCTTCTTATCTGACCAATCACTTAACTTCTTCGATTCTCAATTGTAGACTCGCCCAGCTGGTACCATCATCCGGCACATCACACCTGGTCCCCGCAGGAGATTGAGCAGGGCGTGCGCGCGCGTTCCTTTGAGCGCAGCGCCTACGAGCGCTCCAGCTACGGCCCGCCGGCGCCCATGTACGACAAGCGCGGCCAGCCGCTGCCACGGGAGCGGGAGCGGGAACGCGAACGCTCCAAGTATCGGGAGCGCGAGTACAGGGACTATGCGCGTCCGGGCTATGACTTTGACTACGAGAACGTCTACGAGGAGCGACGCTCGCCCATGGGTCTGGGCTATAAATCGCGGCCAGACTATCTGTACGAGCGGGACAGGGACAGGGACAGAGAGAGGGAACGGGAGCGGGAGCGCAAGTCATTCGATCGCGAGAGCGTCGAGTCCTTCGAGAGCTCGACACGACGGCGACGCAGCTTCGGCAGCGGCGGCGACGCCTACGGCAGCCTGGACAGTCGCGACGACTATCGCGAACGGGATCGGGAGTTGAAGACGCGATCGCTGCGCAAACCGGCCACGTCGTCTGCCAAGCTGCGCGTCGCCGGCGACATTGACTACGAACAGGACTCGGAGCAGGACTTTCAAAGGCAACGCAGCCTGCAGCGACCCAGCCAGCTGGGAGGCGACGTGGTGCCAGGCGCACCACAGCGCTTGCGCAAGAGCAGCGGCTCCAGTCCCTGGGATGGTGAGGGTAAGTTTACTTGAGGAACTTCAAGCATGCGCATATAAAAACTCCCCTTCACAGAGCCCACGCTACCTGGCCAGAAGTCCTGGAAGCGTCCAGCAAGCGCTGCGGAAACGGAGCGCCGCCTGGCCGAGAGCCGACGTGCCGCGGCGCTGGCGCAGACGCCCTCCGATGGCGAGAAGGATCGCAGGTATGCGGTGCTGACAAACTGCTAAAACTCGATACTTTATACTTGATCCGCTTGCAGATTCCGCAAGAAGGCGCGCGCACGCAGCACCAAGGATTTGGCCACCGTGGGCGCACGATATGGCAGTGGGCGTGGCGTGCAACGCGACAATTACGACTACATCAGTTGCCAGCGCAACGATAACGATGACGACGACGATGACGACGAGGACTATGTGGATGATGAGCCGCCCACAGACGAGGATAAATTTGAGCGTCTGAATCGACGTCGCCACGAGATGCATCAGCGTATGCTGGAGAGCGAGCGCAGGCAGCAGGAGCGGCACGCGCCCGGCCTGGCCAAGCTGCCTGGACAGAATCGGACACGCAGCACAGCCGGCGGCGGCGGTGGCGGCGTTAATAGCGACTATGGCTTCGTGGACAGCTACGAGCAAACGCCCACGCCCCGATCGAATGCCAGCAGCACTGCGGTCATGATGAGCGGCGGCGAATCATCTGCTGGCGTTGGCGGCGGAGTCGGCGGTGGCACCAAATTCAATTTTGACGATGGCTTCGAGTCGGACTTCAATCAGAGCTCGCCACCGCCAGCGCCCGCTGGCACTGCGTCCAGTTGCAATTCCACGCCCGCTGGGCTCATCTCGGCTAGCAGCACGCTCGGCTCCAAATCGCTGTTTCGCTTCTCCAATGACTTCTCGGAGCGTGAGAAGCTGCAGCAACAGCAGCAGCAACAGCGGGATGGCAACTTCGAGCTGGAGGCGGCGCCCAGCTCGACGCCCCCGATAACCCAGAAGCTGCGTTTCGATGATAACGTAAAGGTGTCGCAGTTCGATGATGCCGCTTTCGAGGATGACTTTGCAAAGGCGTCCTTCGACTTTGACAAGGAGCAGTCGTCGCCGGCAGCGCCCTCTGCCTCGAGCCGGAAGCAGAACATGCGCAGCAGTCGGCTGCAGCAGCGTCAAGAGCTAATCAAGAAATCCGAATCAGTGAATATATTCGCCAAAAAACAGGAGGATCCCTTCGAGGATGACGAATTCTTCAAGTCACCCGACGAACCGGTGCTGCCCGGCCAAGAGGACGACGCCAACAGCGCGGATGCCAACAAGTTCCAGTGGAACGAGGACAACAACTTTGCCAAGTTCGATGAAAACATGTGATTTGATCAACTCTTCGCCAAGGCATCCAGCACAGCCATCGCAGAGCAGCCGGAGAGCGACGGCGGCAACTACGCCGAAATCGATGTCATCAACGATGGCGACTTCTACTACTTGACCAATCTGAATCACTACTATCAGGAGCAGCGGCAGCAGGCGCTGCACCAGCAGCGCCAGCATGACTACATTAATGTGCCCCGGATGCAAACCAAAGCCACATCCACCACTAACAGTCCCTGGCACGAGCTCCACAACAACAACAACAATAAGAACAAGTCCAAGTGCAGGGTCAAGCTAAAGTCGCTGCAGCTGCTGCGCCAGCCAAGCAAATGGAAACTGAAACGCTCCTTCGATGAGATTGTCAAGTGTCTGATTATAGCCTCATCCGAGCATGTTTACGATTACGATGTCCTTTGGTAGGGTGGTGTCGCCAAGCGCCAACTCGGCGAGCAAGTCGTATTCCCCCGTCTACTTCTAATCCAATAATTGTCTGTCTGTTTGTCTAGTCAAATTTATTGCCATATACTATATATATCTCCTAAACAATAGACTGTGATTTTATGTACATTCTGTTTGGTCAAAACGAAAAGTTAGAACGACTTGCTACGACGAGGCTACCCAACGCTAGAGGGCGCTGCAGAACATCAGCTGTTATTATTAGCTAATAATATGAATTCAAGTCAAGTTTGTATATATATTGAGAGATTTGCAACTATTCAACAAAACTAACCTAGTTATTTATGCTAAACTTAATTCGATAACAGATAACGATAACGATTACGATTACGATAACAATTACGATAACTTATATGATCTGTTCAATTGAACGTTTGTTACGTACATTATTCGAATCCAAATACTCATCCTCCAAGTAACGAAAGCAACTAATTAATGCCTATGCTAAATGTCGTCTAGCTTAGTATTATTATTATTACTATAACTATTATCATCAAGAATAACTATCCAAAGTGCATACTACATATAAATCGTCTAACATACCATACGAATTGTAACTAGCCTAAAGTGTTTATTATTTAACTACATATATAGACATAATACACACTATATTAAAGCGCCTATAACAAGACGAACAACTGAACGAACAACAGGTAACACAGGTAACCAAGCAGCTATCAAATATTGAGATATATATACCTACTATACCAGATATAAATTTATACGATACGAATACAATAGTTAATATTATTATGGTATATTTGTTCTATCAATTAAAATGTGTACCGAGCAGACAAAGCTTACATCTTTTTACTTTTAAATACTTCTCATAAGCTTAATTAATTAATATTAATTCGTATAATTATAATATTTATTAATTATATGAATAATCCAGAGCACGCTCGGAAAAAAAAGGTGGAAGACTGAAACGTACTTCGCCCAGGCAAATCAGAGTAATATCTGTACGTATTTATATATTTACCATGTTTATTGAGTTCTTATATTTTGTTTAATTTCGCAGCTAGGTTTTATTTTCCCTTAAAGTTTAGTTCAGGCATAACATTCTAAAATCAGACGATATTTACCCGAGATATTCGAAAAAAATGATCAACAAAGTTTTGATTTTCGAACCGACCCTTGCTTATTTTTCGATTTGGGTCAAAATTTAGATTTTTCTTTTTTTGATGCCAATCGATAGTACTGATTCTTACGAGTCCAAAATAATGTAAAACTCCGAAATCGGGCATTATTTGGCCGATATATTCCAAAAAAATCATCATTAAAACGACATAACTCCGCGGGAGATATGACGTTCCAAAACGACATAACTCCCGCGGAGTTATGTCGTTTTAATCTGCTTAAGTACCAGGCGAGCAGAAATGCCCAGAAGGTCGATGAGCGCTGTAAGGCAGCTGTTAAACAATAGCTGCAGCTGCAGCTAATGTGAAAGGGCTCCTAAAAGAAATAACATTCCAAAATCAGACGATATTTACCCGAGATATTCCAAAAAAACTTTCAAACAAGTTTTGATTTTCGAACCGACCCAGATTTTGAGTAAAAACGTTATGTAACCCCTTGCTGTTTTGGTCGATTTTGGTCAAAATTTAGATTTTCAACTTTTGAACGCCAATCGATAGTGTTGATCCTTACGAGTCAAAAATGGTATATCATTCCAAAATCGGACGTTATTTGGCCGAGATATTCAATAAAATCAATAAAATCATCAGAAAAGGTTGACTTTACAAACGAATCGATTTTTGGTCAACAACTTTTTTTAAGCCATCGATTTTTGATTTGTTTGAATGCAAATTGAAAGTAGGGATCCTTACGAATTGAAAAAGGTATAACATTCTAAAATCAGACGATATTTACCCGAGATATTCGAAAAAAATGATCAAAAAAGTTTTGATTTTCGAACCGACCCCGATTTTAAGAAAAAACGTGATGTAACCCCTTGCTTATTTTTCGATTTGGGTCAAAATTTAGATTTTTCTTTTTTTGATGCCAATCGATAGTACTGATTCTTACGAGTCCAAAATAATGTAAAACTCCGAAATCGGGCATTATTTGGCCGATATATTCCAAAAAAATCATCATTAAAACGACATAACTCCGCGGGAGATATGACGTTCCAAAACGACATAACTCCCGCGGAGTTATGTCGTTTTAATCTGCTTAAGTACCAGGCGAGCAGAAATGCCCAGAAGGTCGATGAGCGCTGTAAGGCAGCTGTTAAACAATAGCTGCAGCTGCAGCTAATGTGAAAGGGCTCCTAAAAGAAATAACATTCCAAAATCAGACGATATTTACCCGAGATATTCCAAAAAAACTTTCAAACAAGTTTTGATTTTCGAACCGACCCAGATTTTGAGTAAAAACGTTATGTAACCCCTTGCTGTTTTGGTCGATTTTGGTCAAAATTTAGATTTTCAACTTTTGAACGCCAATCGATAGTGTTGATCCTTACGAGTCAAAAATGGTATATCATTCCAAAATCGGACGTTATTTGGCCGAGATATTCAATAAAATCATCAGAAAAGGTTGACTTTACAAACGAATCGATTTTTGGTCAACAACTTTTTTTTAGCCATCGATTTTTGATTTGTTTGAATGCAAATTGAAAGTAGGGATCCTTACGAATTGAAAAAGGTATAACATTCTAAAATCAGACGATATTTACCCGAGATATTCCAAAAAAACCTTCAAGAAAGTTTTGATTTTCGAACCGACCCAGATTTTGAAAAAAAACGTGATGTAACCCCTTGCTGTTTTGGTCGATTTTGGTCAAAATTTAGATTTTCAATTTTTGAACGCCAATCGATAGTATTAATCCTTACGAGTCAAAAATGGTATATCATTCCAAAATCGGACGTTATTTGGCCGAGATATTCAATAAAATCATCAGAAAAGGTTGACTTTACAAACGAATCGATTTTTGGTCAACAACTTTTTTTAAGCCATCGATTTTTGATTTGTTTGAATGCAAATTGAAAGTAGGGATCCTTACGAATTGAAAAAGGTATAACATTCTAAAATCAGACGATATTTACCCGAGATATTCGAAAAAAATGATCAAAAAAGTTTTGATTTTCGAACCGACCCCGATTTTAAGAAAAAACGTGATGTAACCCCTTGCTTATTTTTCGATTTGGGTCAAAATTTACATTTTTCTTTTTTTGATGCCAATCGATAGTACTGATTCTTACGAGTCCAAAATAATGTAAAACTCCGAAATCGGGCATTATTTGGCCGATATATTCCAAAAAAATCATCATTAAAACGACATAACTCCGCGGGAGATATGACGTTCCAAAACGACATAACTCCCGCGGAGTTATGTCGTTTTAATCTGCTTAAGTACCAGGCGAGCAGAAATGCCCAGAAGGTCGATGAGCGCTGTAAGGCAGCTGTTAAACAATAGCTGCAGCTGCAGCTAATGTGAAAGGGCTCCTAAAAGAAATAACATTCCAAAATCAGACGATATTTACCCGAGATATTCCAAAAAAACTTTCAAACAAGTTTTTTTTCGAACCGACCCAGATTTTGAGTAAAAACGTTATGTAACCCCTTGCTGTTTTGGTCGATTTTGGTCAAAATTTAGATTTTCAACTTTTGAACGCCAATCGATAGTGTTGATCCTTACGAGTCAAAAATGGTATATCATTCCAAAATCGGACGTTTTTTGGCCCAGATATTCAATAAAATCATCAGAAAAGGTTGACTTTACAAACGAATCGATTTTTGGTCAACAACTTTTTTTAAGCCATCGATTTTTGATTTGTTTGAATGCAAATTGAAAGTAGGGATCCTTACGAATTGAAAAAGGTATAACATTCTAAAATCAGACGATATTTACCCGAGATATTCGAAAAAAATGATCAAAAAAGTTTTGATTTTCGAACCGACCCCGATTTTAAGAAAAAACGTGATGTAACCCCTTGCTTATTTTTCGATTTGGGTCAAAATTTAGATTTTTCTTTTTTTGATGCCAATCGATAGTACTGATTCTTACGAGTCCAAAATAATGTAAAACTCCGAAATCGGGCATTATTTGGCCGATATATTCCAAAAAAATCATCATTAAAACGACATAACTCCGCGGGAGATATGACGTTCCAAAACGACATAACTCCCGCGGAGTTATGTCGTTTTAATCTGCTTAAGTACCAGGCGAGCAGAAATGCCCAGAAGGTCGATGAGCGCTGTAAGGCAGCTGTTAAACAATAGCTGCAGCTGCAGCTAATGTGAAAGGGCTCCTAAAAGAAATAACATTCCAAAATCAGACGATATTTACCCGAGATATTCCAAAAAAACTTTCAAACAAGTTTTTTTTCGAACCGACCCAGATTTTGAGTAAAAACGTTATGTAACCCCTTGCTGTTTTGGTCGATTTTGGTCAAAATTTAGATTTTCAACTTTTGAACGCCAATCGATAGTGTTGATCCTTACGAGTCAAAAATGGTATATCATTCCAAAATCGGACGTTATTTGGCCGAGATATTCAATAAAATCAATAAAATCATCAGAAAAGGTTGACTTTACAAACGAATCGATTTTTGGTCAACAACTTTTTTTAAGCCATCGATTTTTGATTTGTTTGAATGCAAATTGAAAGTAGGGATCCTTACGAATTGAAAAAGGTATAACATTCTAAAATCAGACGATATTTACCCGAGATATTCGAAAAAAATGATCAAAAAAGTTTTGATTTTCGAACCGACCCCGATTTTAAGAAAAAACGTTATGTAACCCCTTGCTGTTTTGGTCGATTTTGGTCAAAATTTAGATTTTCAACTTTTGAACGCCAATCGATAGTGTTGATCCTTACGAGTCAAAAATGGTATATCATTCCAAAATCGGACGTTATTTGGCCGAGATATTCAATAAAATCAATAAAATCATCAGAAAAGGTTGACTTTACAAACGAATCGATTTTTGGTCAACAACTTTTTTTAAGCCATCAATTTTTGATTTGTTTGAATGCAAATTGAAAGTAGGGATCCTTACGAATTGAAAAAGGTATAACATTCTAAAATCAGACGATATTTACCCGAGATATTCCAAAAAAAACTTTCAAACAAGTTTTGATTTTCGAACCGACCCAGATTTTGAGTAAAAACGTTATGTAACCCCTTGCTGTTTTGGTCGATTTTGGTCAAAATTTAGATTTTCAATTTTTGAACTCCAATCGATAGTATTGATCCTTACGAGTCAAAAATGGTATATCATTCCAAAATCGGACGTTATTTGGCCGAGATATTCAATAAAATCATCAGAAAAGGTTGACTTTACAAACGAATCGATTTTTGGTCAACAACTTTTTTTAAGCCATCAATTTTTGATTTGTTTGAATGCAAATTGAAAGTAGGGATCCTTACGAATTGAAAAAGGTATAACATTCTAAAATCAGACGATATTTACCCGAGATATTCCAAAAAAACCTTCAAGAAAGTTTTGATTTTCGAACCGACCCAGATTTTGAAAAAAAACGTGATGTAACCCCTTGCTGTTTTGGTCGATTTTGGTCAAAATTTAGATTTTCAATTTTTGAACGCCAATCGATAGTATTAATCCTTACGAGTCAAAAATGGTATATCATTCCAAAATCGGACGTTATTTGGCCGAGATATTCAATAAAATCATCAGAAAAGGTTGACTTTACAAACGAATCGATTTTTGGTCAACAACTTTTTTTAAGCCATCGATTTTTGATTTGTTTGAATGCAAATTGAAAGTAGGGATCCTTACGAATTGAAAAAGGTATAACATTCTAAAATCAG